GTGTGGATTGACATCCGGGTCTTCTATTTGGTTCCATTGGTCCTCCTGTCTGTTCTTATGCCAATACCAACTGTTTTCAGTACTGTAGCTCTGTAGTAGAGTTTGAAGTCAGGGATTGTGATGCCTCCAGAAGTTCTTTTATTGTACAGAATTGTTTTGGCTATCCTGAGTTTTTTGCTTTTCCATATGAAATTGAATACTGTTCTTTTGAGGTCTTTGAAGAATTTTTCTGGGATTTTGATGGGCATTGCATTGAATTTGTAGCGTTAGCTTCTTATTGGCTAACTCTTATATTAATTTAACCCATTTCTATTAGTCTGTATATTGCCAAGTGGCAGTGGCTTACTGACAAAGATTTGGCATGTCTCTGGCGGCTCCATGGTGTCTCTCCGACTCTGCCTTCTTCCTCCCAGTATTCAGTTCCATTTTCTCTGCCTACCTAAGTTCTGCTCTATCAATGGGCCAAGGCAGTTTCTTTATTCATTAACCAAGAAAAGCAACACACAGACAGAAGGACCTCCCACACCAGCAGCACTGAATAGTTTTAGAAACATACCAGAAAAAAAAAAAAAAAAGGCTGGGCGGTGGTGGCACACGCCTTTAATCCCAGCATTTGGGAGGCAGAGGCAGGCGGATCTCTGTGAGTTCGAGACCAGCCTGGTCTACAAGAGCTAGTTCCAGGACAGGCTCCAAAAACCACAGAGAAACCCTGTCTCGAAAAAACAACAACAACAACAACAAAAAAAAAAAGAAACATACCAGCAGGAATAAGGAATGAACAAGATTGGTAACTTGCCAAAGTTGTTATTGTATTAGCATGTGTTGATGTAGTTCTATAGAAATATGGTGGGTATCTATGGAGTCACTGAACTGGGAGTCTGATGCATACATAACTGATGCCCAGTGCAGGCATGCCTGGAAAACACTGCATGAGAGAGGAAGAGATATGCAGTAGGGAGGCCTACAGGGTTGAGTGAGGGTTCAGGTCATGCTGCTTACCGACCAGGTGACCTTGGGAGGTGTTCTTGTTGACCTCGTTAAGTTTCAGCGGGAGGCGTGTTTCTCATCTCTCCTCTTATGAAAGAGAAAATGGGAAGATGGGTGTTAATCACTGCACAACGCTGGCACAGGGAAGTAACTGGTACATGAATACTGCTCTTACATCTGACTGCAATGGTGGTGGCCACAGTTGTGTTTTGTTGTAAAAGGCATTATTGTTTTGTACAGACCAAGACTCTAGTTGGGAAATTGGATGAATGTCAGCATGTCCAACCTTGTGCCATGATGGTGGTACTGTTACCACAAATGTGTGGACCGTAGCAGTAAATATCCTGAGATTCACTGGGCAGGTTGGACGTGCCTAGAAGGCAGGAGTCAGTGAGAGTGTTTGTACAGTCTGTTTGTGCTTGTATTGTGCCCTATACCCTGAAGAGTAACATACCATCGTCAGCATTCTCAGCATTCAAGTCAGGGGCTTTAAAGAGCTCTGAAATGCCATGCCTGGTCTCTAACCCTAACGACACTCGATTTCCCTCATGCGAGGATCTACTGATCTACCCTGTCTAGTTCCTCTCCATTCTTGTTTATAATGATAAAGACCCTGGACAGGTAGCTGCAGTGTTAACATGTGGCGGCGGATGCTGAGTAGTGGGCTCTGTGTGACTCGGAGTGACTCCCCTTGCTGGCGGAATGGCCAACTCTTCCTCCTTTTCTTCCTTATTTTGTTGTTTTTTGTGTGTTTTATAAAGAGAATAAATTTCTTATTAGCTGATTACATTGAAAGCCAAAGAAAAAGGCATGTATTGAGGGAGAGCCACTCCAGCTCCTGTCCTGATGTTACCTCCCTTCATCCTGTGTCGCAGGGCTCCTGGGGCCTCTACTTTATATCCTAGATTAGTGAAAAGAGTAAATCAAACAACAAGCATTACGGAGAATCAAGAGCTTATCAAGGTGCTGTTTTAGCTTCTGGGGAGCTGTAAATAGGATGTGAGGCTTATGGAAGGACTAGCTGGAGCCCTTGCCTTGATTTCCTGTCATAATTTTAGAAATATTAAGTCACCAGATTAGGAAAGGGCAGAAGAGACGACGACGAGAGATGCGTAGAGGAGCCGGTGGCTGGAACGTCCCTAAGTCTAGTGCCCCTCCGCCTGTGACTATGCCCTTCCGTGCAGCAACTCACTTATCACATCCTCAGAACCACATGTCACCTGCTCAGCACTTTCTTTGGTTTTCTTGCAGCACCAGGGAGCAAGCCCCAGGACCTAATGCATGATAGACTAGAACACTAGCCCTGAGCTCCAATGTTTTTCACAGGCTCAAGTGTTTTTCCTTAAATCAGTGTCTTTTTACTTAAATTTATTCTGAAAATTAAGATACACCCCTAGAACAACTAAACGTATTAGTAAGAGCCACTGAATGGTTCAGTGGTTGGACTGCCACTCCTGATGGCCTGAATTTGAGCCCCAGAACCCACGCAGTGGGAGGAGAGAACTGGGTTCCTCAAGTTCTCTAACCTCCACATGTCCGCTGTGGCGTGTCCCCACCTAACGGCATGCTCATATACACTTGCACATACAATCTGTTAGAATGAGTGATGGGAACTGTATTACTGACTAGCTAAACACTTCCAGGAGTTCCTAGGAGCAGATACGATGTCCTCAGAGATGCTCTCTGGCCTTGTCAGGACTTGAACAGCAGAGATAAGTTTCTTAGTGAGTGTTGGCATTAACCAGAGCCCTATGCCCCTAAAGCCTGGCTTAATGTTCTCCCATTCCCAAGCCACCAAGCACTATCTTTGTAAGGGGCCGTAGTCTAGAGAATTTCAGGCAACGCCCTTATGTGGTTTTCTGAGTTTTGTTCTCAAAGTTTTGGTTTTTCTGTCTCTAGCCTACCCCAGGCACAATGAATGTACCAGCAGGGTAGGGGACCCACCTTCCAAAGGAAAGCAAGGCAAGTCCTTTGTAAGTGAAAGATAGTGCAGAGGTGTGAACAGTTATCCCCTTTTTGTCTAAATCAGCGGCTCTCAACCTTTCTTAATGCATCAACCCTTTCATGCAGCTCATATAGTGGTGACCCCCACCATAAAATTATCCCGTTGCTACTTCGTAACTGTAATTTTGCTGCTGTTATGAATTGTAATGTAAATATCTGATATGCAGGATATCTGATAAGTGACCCCTGTGGAAGGGGTCACCACCCACAGATTGAGGACCCCTGGTCTAAGCCATGGCAGTCAGAAAGCATAACTTTCTCAGTGAGACCAAGTGTGTGGATTCTCTGAGAAGACCAAACCTTGTTAAAGTGGTCCTGCTGTACAAAAGTTCCTTCTGCTCAGCAGATGAATTCTGGTAGAAAATTCCTCCAAAGTGGAATGTCCCCAGCAGACACAGGCAGAGGAAGGGTTTTTTCTCTTTATGTTTGCCTACCGTCTCTAGTGCCAGAGCTCGTGATGTCCATGACCTTGGGCATGAAATGTTCTAAATCCTAGACTGATGGGACATTGGGTAATTAGCTTCCCAGCTCAGAGTCTGAATCACAGTGGCTCGCTGCACTTTCTAAAGGCGTCCTGTAGTCTAGAAGAGTCGTCTTGAAGCTGAATTTTTGCAGCCATCAGCTCATGCGGGATCCACAACCCCCGCCTGCAGATTTACACATGCCTGTTCTTTGCAGATTGTGCCAGCAATTCTTTTTTAACCCCCAGTGTTGAACTGGAACCCAGAGCCCTAGGTGTGCTAGGCAGGTGTTCTGTCACTGAGCCACACACCTTTCTCCAGCTTTTGTACATGGAATTTAAGAGACAGCTCCTCCAGGGAGCTTTGTGATTACTTAACTTTCAGGGGGAAACGTCAGTCTCTTGTAGCCTTACAGGTGATGATTTTCCTTCCATAAAACATGTTATGTGGAATTAATCCCAACTTGTAACTTTGCTTTTCTCTGGTCTGTTTGTACTTTGTGTGTGCCTTGTGTTATTCTAGGCACTAAGAGAGAACGTAAGTGATTATTCTTGTCACGGAGTGAGCTTCTAGAAGAGAGACAGGCCAGCGACTAAAGGATGCTGGGAAAACCACTTCTAGTGACTGAGCAGAGCAGAGTTACGTCCTCTCTGCCTCAGTGCTCTCATCTGTGAAATGGATACAATTCCTCTCTTGATTAGTTATATTTTTAATTTTATGTGTATGAGTGTTTTGCACATGCATGTATGTAAGTACATCAATTCCATGCCTGGTGCCTGAAGAAGGCAGAAGAGGGCATCAGATCCCCTGGAACTTGGGTACTGAGAACCCAACTCAGGTCCTCTTTAAGAGCAGCAAGTGCTCTAACTACTGGGCCATCTCTGCAGCCCCTCATTTGGTTATTATAAGATGCTTGCCTGTAATTTCAGCATTCAAGAAACTGAGGCAGGAGGACTGTGAGTTCCAGGCCAACCTGGGTTACATAGTGAGTTTCAAGCCAGCCTAGGTTGCATAACCAATCAATGAAAATAAAATATTGTAAATCTATAGAAAACTTGAGGGAATAATACATCATAGTTAACATTTCACACACATTACTTTCTCTTTCCTGAGCTTTTAAAAGTGAGTAGTGGATACCAGTCTGTACACACCCCCTCAAAGCTTGGACATGTCCCTGGGCATGACAGCCTGCATTGTCCACAGCTACAATTTGTCAAATGTTCAAGAATGGTAGCTCTGTGCATCCTAGTACCGTCTGATAGCCATTGGGTACTCCAGTCATCCCGACAATGTACCCTGTGGTTTTGATTTTCACTTTTTGTGGCCCACTGTCCTTCAAAGTCTGCCTCCTCACATCTAGTTGCTACATTTGTTTTGTTTTTCTCGGCCTCATTCAGGATCTTTGTCCTTTCTGAGTCTCCCTCTTTTCCCCTGGGATGGCTTTAGTATTGTCCGCATGTCTCCCGATCTCTCATTTAGGATCCTTTCCCTTTCTGCGTCTTCCTTTTTTCCCCCTGAGAGGGCTTCAGTACTGTTCTCTCTCTCCAGCCTCTGCAGGTGTCAACCAGCCTTAGAGAGCAGGATGGATCTCGATGTAGTGAACATGTTTGTGATCGCGGGTGGAACCCTGGCCATTCCAATCCTGGCATTCGTGGCTTCTTTTCTCCTGTGGCCTTCAGCGCTGATAAGGATCTATTATTGGTAAGTCAGCTGTATAGTGAAGGTTTACAAAGTATCATAGTATCCTCATCCCCACTTTGTCCTGGTCACTGTTACTGATCATTGTGTCCTGAGATACTTCAGACTCAGAAAAGTTGAAGGACATCTTGTTTAGAGAGCTTTTAAGTTTAAAAAAAAATTATTTTTATGTGTGTGGGTGTTTTGCCTGTGTGCGTGTCTATGCACCTTGTGCTTGCTTGACACCTACAGAGGCCAGCACAGGGTGTTGGGTGCCCTGAACTTGGAGTTACAGACTGTTGTAAGATGCCATGTTTGTGATCCCCTGAAGCAGCAGTGAGTGCTCTTAACCACAGAGCCATCTCTCCAGCCCCTCTTTGGGGTTTTAAATGTGTTCTTGAACTGGCAGCTACTTCAAAGCAGGTACACTGTCTCGAGTTTCTGACAGCATGCTTGCCCTCAGGACCGCTCAGTCTCCTGGGCATGGTTGCCTTCCTAGCCACCAGCTGCAGTGATGTCACTGAGACGTGAACCAGAAGCTCGGAAACACTCAGTGCCAAGTGCACATTTGGCACTGAATGCTTTAAGATTTACCTGTTTTGTTTGGGTTTTAAGAAAGGATCTCCGTATAAGAAGCTGTGGCTAGTCTAGGATTCTCTGTAGGTCAGGCAGGCCTTGAATTCACAGAGATCTGCCTGCCTCTGCTCTGGGAGAGCTAGGATTGAAAGCATGTGCCAGCACAGCTGTTTGGTTTTGGTGTTTTGAAATAAGAACCTGTAGCACAGGCTAGCTGATCCTCCCTTTTCCACCTCCCAAATCCTGGGATTACAGGAGCGTAGCACAGGCTAGGTACAGATTTACTATGAGGATGACTCTGGATCCTCCCAAATCCTGGGATTACAGGAGCGTAGCATAGGCTAGCTGCAGATCTACTATGAAGATGTCTCCAGATCCTCCCTAATCCTGGGATTACAGGAGGGTGCCAGCACGCCCAGCCTTGCTCTATATTGTTAATTAGTGAGGTGAAAGAGACAAATGAAGCTTCCAGATATCTGCCATTCTCAGCGCCTTCACCCCAGCCCATCTCGGGATCATCTGTATTTTCCTCAGAGTTAAAACAGTAAATCTGCGCCTTTAATCCCAACACTCAGGAGGCAGAGATAGGCAGATCTTTGTGAGTTTGAGGCCAGCCTGGTCTACAAGAGCTAGTTCCTGGACAGGCTCGAAAGCTACAGAGAAACCCTGTCTCGAAAAAACAAAACAAACAAAAAAGACATTAAATCTGTGTTTTGAGTGTTGTTTTAAATTTTGTATTTATTGTCACTGGGGAAACTTTTATGCCGCAGCTCATCTGTGGAGGTCAGAGGACAATCTATGGAACTGTGAGTTCTATTATTGTTACTGTTTTGAGATAGTGTCTCATTGTAGCCCCAGTTGGTCTATACTCCCTGCGTAGCCCACCCAGATCTTGAACTCAGGATCCCATTTCTGCTGCCCAAGTTCTGGGCTTACAGGTATGAGCCCCTACACCTGGCCTTTAAATCCGTTTATTTACAAAGTGATATAAATGGCTTCACTATAACATGGAAGATTTGCCGTGAAAAGTAACTAAATGTAAAAAAGTAAAAATAAACACAGTTACCTTAAATCGTCTCACTAAATGTTAGCCTATCTATTGTTGCCTATTAAAGAACTGAAGCCAGGGCCTGTGCATGCCAGGCAGGGCTCTAGCGCTGACCTGCATTCCTAACTTTTAAAAAGGTTAACACTTGGAAAGAAAGTGCTATTCTTCATTGATTTTTTTTTTTCTGTGCCTCTGCCCACTTATGAAATACAGAATCCTCCCCCACCCAACTCATGCTGAAATGAGCACTGGGTCCTCTCCATACTGTAGATAAACCCCGGGAGATTTATCTGGGCCTTGGGCAGTTAGAGGGAACTTAGGCATGTGGACCGGGAGGCTGGTGCCCTCTCTCTGCCCTCCTTTCTGGCTCCCTTTTGTTTCACTGGCGTGTGGAATTTTCCACCAGCTGCTCAGGCTCCAAGCCTTGGAAAGCAACAAATAGAACAAAGCAGTTTATGATCTTTCATTCTCTCTGCCTTTTCTGCGTGGGTGGGGCTGTCTTCCCTTCAGAGGGCCACCCAGGACCCACCTCTGCATTGACAAATCAGACCTTTCGCTGCCTAGATGCCACTGTCGGTGCTGTGTTGCTGAGGCTCCTGGGTAGTCCTGGACTTGGAGAGGTCAGAGCCAGGTCTCCACTTCTTGACCCTGCGGAGGACCTTGCTCCTCCACACGCAGACGCCATCATTGTTAAACAATTGAAGTTGAAACAGAGAACGCAGTTTGCAGACGTGGACCCGTAACCATGGATATGACTGCGTGCTGATGTGTGGTTCCACCCATCGTGGGCGAGAACCAGCCTCAATGTCTCCCGACATCCAAGTTCCCTGGACTCTCAAAGAGCGCGTTTTCAGAACTGGTATCAGAGCCGTTTTAATTTTTTTGTTGGTTTTTCAAAGAGGAGAAAGACCTTCTTAGCCAATGTTTTACTGTTTTTACCAAGTTCTAGTTGACGTTCATTATATGAAAGCGTACGGTTGGGTGTTTTTATTGTATTTATTGTACAGTCACAACCACTCCGTCGTCCTAGATCTTTTCCACCTCCCCAAAGTTCACACTATGTAAATTTGTGATCCTCCTGCCTTAGCCTCCCCAGTGCTGGGATTACAGGTTTATCCCGCCAAGGCCCCGATGTTGATCCCATGTTCCTCGTGCACTGGCCTGGGTCTGTACCTCCCAAACCCCTGTTGAGGGTCCGTCCCTAGTGGAGCCGTGTGAACGGATCTGTGAGAAGGCAAGGTTAATGCAGTTCTGCTGAAACTGACTCATTACTACATGGAGTTTGTCACTGTAAATCAAGGCAGTACCTTGTACTTTATGATTTTGGTACATGGCCACTTGCCGTTTGGCTTTCTGCCTTGACTTGAAGCAGCAGAAAACCTTGACCAAAAGCCAAGCGGAAGTCGCACCATGGTCTTGGACTTCCCAGCCTCTGGAGCAGTGTTTCTCAACCTTCCTGATGCGGTGACCCTTTAATACAGTTCCTCATGTTGTGATGACCGCCAACCATGAAACTATTTTCACTGTTACTTCATCACTGTAATTTTACTACTGTTGTGAATCGAAAAGTAAATATCTGAATCTATAGATAATTGGAATGAATAGGTGGATTTGGGGTCTGGGTAGGGAGATGGTCCAGTTGGTTCAGTTCTTGCTACACAAGAATAAACACCTGAGTATGGCTCTCTAGCATCCACAGAAACAAAAACAAACAAAAACTGGGTGAAGCATCAGACATCTGTAATCCCGGGTCTGGGAAGCAGAGATGGGAGGATCCCTTGGGGCTTGTTGGCCATTATTATAGTGACATCAGTGAGCATCATATTTAATGAGAGGCCCTGTCTTTGGAAAAATAAGGAAGAAAAACAATAGAGGAAGACACCTGGTCCATTTGTACACGCACCCACTTACATGTGCATGTACACACACACACACACACACACCAGAAGTGAATTTGGCTAAGTTGCTGAATACAAGATCAATAGCGGGTGCTAGAGAGATGACTCAGTGGTTAAGAGTACTCATTGCTCTTGCAAAAAGAACCTGGGTTCAACTCCCAGCACCCACATGATGGCTCACAACTACCCCAGTTCCAGGGGATGCAACAGGAACTCGCATGGTATACATATATACACGTGAGCAAACTCTTCATACACACAAAGTAAATAAATAAATCATTTTAAAAAATCAATAACCAAAAATTAGGGGCATTCCCATATAACAGAAACAAATAAATGAAAATGAAAAAAAAAGGGTAAATGTTACTACTTACTCTAGTGCCAACAGCTCTCAAATACCTAACAATAAATCTAAAGAACAGCGTGGACGCTATGGCGATGGTGAAATGGGTAAAGGTGCTTGCCACACCAGCCTGATGAACTGCGTCGGTTCCCTGGAAACAAGGGTGGAAGGAGAGAATTGACTCCAAGAAGTTGTCCTCTAACCTCCACAGATATGTCTGCACACACACAAGCATCACAACACACCTACCCACAGGGTGGAGGGAGAGAACTGACTCCCAAATGTCCTCTGACCCCCATATTCTCATTGCAGCACATACACATACACAAACCACAACAATAATATATTTCAATTTTTAAATAATAAAGGTAATAGTCTCTTCAATCCCTTTTTTAAAAAAACATGGAAGGTCTCTACATAAAAACTAAAAAATGTCCATCTGAGACAGTTGATAATACCTAAATTCATGGAAGGATAGACTTTATTTGTGGGCCAAAAGATTTTCTTCTTGTAGAGATGTCACATTTTCGTACGATGGCCCCTAAATTAAGTGACTAGCCGTCTTAAATGCCAGTAGGTTTTTCTGGTGGCCTTTGATAAGCAGTGTGCTGGTTAGTTCTTGGTCAGCTGGACACAAGTTAGGATCACATGGGAAGAGGGAACCTCAATTGAGACAAGGTTGACGTGCTCTTGATTAATGACTGATGTGGGCAGGCCCGGCCTACTGTGGGCGGTGCCACCCCTGTGCAGGTGGTCCTGGGTTGTATATAGGAAAGCAGGCTGAACAAGCCAGTAAGCAGTGTTCCCTCCATGGCTGCTGCTTCGTTTCCTGTGTCCAGATTCCTGCCTTGAGTTTCTGCCTTGGCATCCCTTGATGGATTGTGGCCCAGGTCATGTAAGCCAGATAAACCCTTTCCTCCCACAGTTCCTGTTGGCTATGGATCTCTATCCCAGTGATAGAAAGCAAAGTAGATCAATTAGATTTTTTTTTACTAGTTTCAGAATGTTTAATTTTTATATGATCCTTCAAGTTGGCAGGAAATAGTATTAGCCTTATTTTACAGATAAGACAAATGTTTAGATGAGATTGGAACTGACCTCGTTTCCATGAGATCAGAGTGAGCTAAAATTAATGTAGTAGTTTGTCTAGAGTTTTAAT